CACACACTTCGCTCAGGAAACTTTCCATTTGTGCGGTGAGCAGTGCCAGTAATCCTGCTCCCCACACAGCCTCTTGTGTGCTTGGGAAAGCAAGGGGGTGTGGGTCACAGCAGAGGCTGCAGATCTGGGATGCTCGCAAACTTGTTCTCCAGTTACCATTCACGTGTTCATCCCATTGAGAAACAAATCATGTCCCCTTTGGCCCGAGAGGAAGGTGCAGCAGGAAGGGCAGAATCGAACATGGAGCCCCTTCTTGCTCTGCCCACAACAGTTTGCTCTCTCTGCCAGAGAAGTTAGACAGGACAGGGCTTGCTGGGCCTGGGCCCATTTTTCCTACATTCCAGGCCATGAGAGCTCCAAACCTAGATGGTCCTGGCGACACCGAATTGAAGAGTAAGACTAAGTTCCATGAGCAAGGCTAACATTCATTTAACTTAACAGCCTACAGAGATCAGATGGTTACAAGGAAGAAGGTTAAGTTAGCCTAGAAGGGATGATGATGGTGAATAACATTTTTTGAGCACCTGCTATATGACGCTTTTAAGGTTCCTCCTTGACTGTGACATGGGAACTGTTTTTAAAATGAAGAAACAGAGGCCTGTGGGGAAGTCACTTCCCCAGGGGGACAAGGAACTAATGAACAGGGAGCTGCACCTACACCTCTCTGATCCGCATGACAGGCTGTGTGAATCCAGTACTTTCTTTCTTTCTTTCTTTTTTTAAGATTTATTTATTTATTTTAGAGATCGAGAGAGAGAGAGAGAGAGAGAGAGAGCACAAGTGGCAGGGGCAGAGGAGAAGGGAGAGAGAATCTCAAGCAGACCCCGTGCTGAGTGTGGAGCCTGACATGGGGCTCGATCTCACAACCCTGAGATCACGACCTGAGCTGAAACCAGGAGTCTGAATTGAAACAAAGAGTCAGACGCTTAACTGACTCCACCACCCAGGCGCCCCTCCAGTATGTTTATTTAATCAGTTCTTGGGGGGAGACCACCATCATCTTATTGATGTCAGGGGTGGTAGTGGTATATGAAAAGAGTCTTAGAAGAGGAAGCTTCCTTAGAAGCAGCAGCTATGGACCCCTTTCAACTTTCCCACTTACTGAGTGATCACAGGCCCTATTAGCTCAGTGTCTGCAGAGTGATGATTATTCATAACTTTGTGAGATTATGGTTAAGTGGAAATGCAGGACTCTAACACAATACCTGGCATTTATCAGGTGCTCAATAGGTATTTACTGATTCTGTTGTTGAACTTGAATTTATCTGCCACCAATACAATTCATTTACTCATCAAATTCATGTTTATTGGGTACTATGCCAAGTGCCAGTCAATGGACTAGACACAGAATTGGATTGTTGAGCTCTAACAGACAAAGTCCCCATCCTCAGGGAGCCTAGTGGGGGCAAAAAGCATTAAATACTCACACAAGTGAGTGTGAGTATAACTACAGGGAAATATGCATGGCACAAGAGGCACTCCTCAAATGTTCTATGTCTGAAATGGAACTGGTCATCTTTCCCTGGGCCTGTTCCTCTTCCAGGATCCTCCCTCTCAAGGTGAGGCCACCATCTGCCCATGTCCCAAAGTAAAGCCATAGGGGTCCCCATGAATCTTCTTGCAACTTAACATCCATTGCCTTGTCTCGTGGTCTGCAGCTCTTGACTCTGATGTTGCCTGGCTTTCCTAGAATGGCGTTGTAACACATCTTCAAAGCCTGTATGGATCATTGCCTACAGCCGTGATTTGAGGAGCTTTGGGAACGTTTTACTCAGGCCTACATTACAGTGGCCAGTGCACAAACACCTGTCATAGGTTTATACTACTCCAAGAGAGGCCTTGTGTTAGGTACTTGGAAACTGACTCTCCTGGAAGTAGGAAGAAGATAAGTTTTGAAAACACTCCAGTTTTGCCCAGGGCAGATCTGCTGGTTGCAGACAAAGAGAAGCCATGAGAAGAGTTATTTTTTGCTTTGTAGAGCTGGAAGACATGCAGTTCTACTTGGTATGATTTATGTAGATTTATTTCAATATTTGATTGGGTTTTATATATATTCTTCCTGACGGAAGTCTTAGAGTACGGCTCTGTGCCTGTGACCACAATCTCTAGTCATGCTCAAACTAATGATCTAGGAATAGAAACCATCCCCTTGCCGGACCATGCTAATCAGTAAACCAAGGTCATTTACTCTCTCTGACCCTGCCCTGTCCAGATTGATTCGGATTCAAAATAATCTGTGAAATGAAGAGGGTGTGTGACAGTACCACCACTGGACAGTAGAGGGCGACAGAAGTACACTCAGCGTGTAGAGAGTACTGTTGCCTGCCGGATCGTTTAAGACTTTTCCGCCTTTTCAGACACACAGAGCAGTGTCATTGTTCCCATTCCCCAAGGTGAGGAAGCTGAGTCTCAATATTATTCCCAAGGTTAGACAGCTGGGAACACTGGAGACATCTACATTTCTAGACAGGAGGGGTGATTGGAAGGGTCTTTGGGCGGGGGAACTTAACGTTTATTTTGCAGAGCATTTTATGCAAAATGGGGAAAATGGTCATTGTTCAGTGCTGTCCCAGTTAGAAAGGGACAGTGCAAGAATATGAACTCAAGCTTTCTGACTCCAAATCTAGGGCCCCTTGAGTCTGGGGCGAGTATCTGCATTTTCCTGTCCTCTTGGCACTGATAAGTACAGAGATAGATTTCTGCTCACTCACCCCACTTAACTCTGATTTCTGTCCCCCTTGGCCCTTGCTCTTAGTTCTCGAGTAAATAAATAGGCGAACACAACTCTGAATGTTGCCAGAGGGGCCCTGAATCAAAACATCAATCTAGACTCTTGACCTTCCTGGGAGATAATATTACAGAAAAGATGAAGGGAAGGTCCTCAAATATTATACTGTATTTCCACATGCTGAGTTGAATAGTTGGAAGCTTTGAGGTGATGATGATGATGACAGCAATATTGTACTGAGCTGTTCCCCTGAGTCAGGCACTGTGCCGGAGACTTTAACTCGATCATCTCATTTAATCCTCCTGAGAAACCAGCGAGGCAAGTCGTTTTATTCTTATCTTACAAGTGAGGAAAGTGAGGCCAGAAAGATTACGTAATTATAGCCCAGGTTCACTTGGCAAACAGTTGTTCCAGCATTACTGGGATGTAGACCTCCTCACACCCACTCCTACAGCTTTGTTGTGCTGCATTCCAGGGGTTCCTGATGTCTTAGGTCAGGCGGCTGGATCCACAGCACTTTCAGAAGTTGTCCGAATGTTATATACCCGGAATGCAGTCAGTAGTATTAATGATGGAGTGACAACAATGAAATCAAATGACATTTGTATAGAAATTCCAGTACTTGGAAGTCCTAACTATAGTGTCTCATTTCCCAGAATTCAAGATGTCCCAGAAAAGCCAGCCTAACCCTGAGGAACACAGTATCATGCTTGTCTTTCCCCAGGGATTCTGAGCACCAGAGAGCATTCCCATTGGTTCTGAAGATGGGTAAGATTTATCAGAAACATTTAAAATCCTGGAGGAATCAAAGCTTCTTTCCCTTGTGTTATATGGGGTAGATCACACAAATTGTGTAGCTTGCCTCACACAGTGGACTACAATCTAAGTCCATTTGTTCACAGTAGATGTTACTTATATACATGTATATGTTTAATGTACTAAACAGAGTCCTTTTTGCCTCACTCTGGTACCTAGTTTTCATCAAATACAAGGCGTTCACTAGGCCCACTTGAAGACAAGCTATCAAAACAACCCCCCCCAAAAATCAGACCCTGCAGCTAGAAGGCCCAACACCAGCCTTCCTGCTCTTTATCTCAAGGGTCTGCCTCGTGAGTGGAAAGGAAGAGACTGCCTTCTGCTTCATAGATGGCAGCTTCCGACCCCAGGACCTTTGCATTTAAGAGTAGAGTGAGCACCACTGAGGTGGTCATTTCTGCTTACAGCCTGCAATCTTGGTGCATATTACATGACTAATTAATACTATTTGGTAAATCACATCAAGGTCAGTATTTTGCATTCCATTTTACAGCCTGTTCTGTAGAACCTCACTTTCCACCTCTGCTGTTACTGTGCATCTCTTGGTTTCCTCTACACTTTTCTTTTCTTGATTCGCAGTGTGCTTCACCCATCAGATCACTGACTCTCTAAGCAGGAACTTAGGACTTTTGGCTTCTCCACAACAGCTAATGCCTCAGTGGTGCTCAGGGACTCCCTGATAACAACCCAAAAGGGCCCAGACACCTAATGTCAAACAGACACACCACCGTGAGAAGTACTAAAGCAGAAGGAAGAGGTTTTTATTCTTAGAGAGTCACGGAGATTCTTTTCCCTCAAGTCATACCTCAATTTATCAACACCATCTGAGGACTAAGCTGGCAGGAGAGCCTGAAAGAGAGAGCCTTTGGCTCCCACTGCTCCCGCTCTCCAGTTTCTATAGGGTCTGGAGAATGACTTTACCCCTCCCAGTTACCACAGCCCCATCTGCATGATACGTAGAGTGAGCGCTGCATAATTTATGATGTGTAAGACTATGATTATGAACTAGGATTTCACAGATCAGGCCGGGTGGGAGCATAAGCTGGAGAGTCCGTGACCATGAAACTGAGCCCAGGTCTTTATGAAGGGTTCACTGCTCCTCTGCCCCATGTGGCTCGTCCTGTCAGAGAACAGGCAGGGCCCTCACCAGCCTTGGGAGCCAGGCTTTTCTTCACTAGTGTCAGAAACCCACAGCAGTTGAACAGTGGAAGCCATATCTGCTCTCAAAGCAGTTGCGTTAGGACAACAGAGAGCCCTTTTAAAACTTGGTATAGGACCCCTTTAGTTAGGCTGGAGCTCTCACATGTGTTATTTCCTACACCTAGACCCTGGACACAAGCTTCTGAGTGTGTCAGGCAGAGAAAGGGTACCCATATGTAGACAGCCTCCCCACTCGCCTCCTTGACTGAGAAAGACACCAGGAAGGCAGGAGGCTGCAAGAGAGATGGGTGCTTACTGTGCAGGTCGCTCCTGTCCCTTGTGCCGTCCACTGTGCCATCTGGAAGGATCCTCAGGAAGTGGCCCCCGTTGCTACAGTAGAGGAGTTTGGGCTTCTTGTAATTCCCCGCAGGCAGATTAAACTTCTCCATTAGGGCGGTGAAGGTTGTGATTTCCCCTTCAGCCATGGCTCAGCAGCTGCTCGTTATGGTGCTTTCAAGGCTGTAAGAAATCAGACAACCCTGTAGAATGTCCTTCCGGTGAAGGGGCCGCGTACCCTTTCCAGCAGGGAAGGAGAGCCTCAAGGCACGGGGCTCCCGGTTGGTCAGTAGCCACAGACAGCCCAGGTGATGGCCACTGGAGACGGGCCTGTGTGGTGGGCAGCAGTGAAGGAAGAAAGGTCTTTGGCCTGGGAGGGATTTTCAGGACATTTCTTACTTCTCAATTGGACACAGCTTTGGACCAGGCTGTGCATTTTTTAGAATTTCAAATTTAATCACTTGGCCAAGGGGGAAAAAAAAAATAATGTTTTGGTCCCTCCTTCTGATCCACACATATCCTCAAATTAAACACTGGAGTGGCACTAAAATAACACCTGGGCCCTGGCTGAAACCCACAAAAGCCGAGAGGCCGGCACTGAGGTTTTGCTGTCCATCCTCCCACTGTTTTGGCTGGGGACTGCCAGCCCCGTGGACACAGACAGCTCTGACAGTCTGACTGTTGGGGACCCGTAGAAAAAGGGATGGAGGCCTTGCAGACCACCCATGATAGGGACAGTGAAGGGTTCATGCATAAAGGGTTTGCTGGTGGGAACAGCACCAGAACGGGGAACAAGCCTATGGTGGGTGTTCCGTGGGGGTTCTAAAGGGCAGATGCCACACCAAAGGAAACCTGATGAGACAGATCATGATGAAGGGTCTGCCAGTTATCCTTCCCCAGCTTTCCTTACCTCCTAATATCACACAGAGAAGGCAGGTCTGTCCCTTGTACAAAGGCTATCTTCCTCCTCGTTATTTTCAAATGAGACCTACTTATTCTGATGAGGAAACCGCCATATTACACAGTATAATCCTCTCATAGTGTAGACACCCACTCTGTCGAGATTTATACCATCAGTGTAAAGACGTTATCAGTGCCACAAAGCTAAGTTTTAAGAAGCAAAAGTAACGAACATTAGAATTTTAAAACCTCTTCTTGCCCCACCATTTAGGAGAACAACGCGTTGGCCACCACAGGGCTACTCAGGGAAGAGGCGAAGAGCTGGAAGATGACTTCGGGAGCTTCCTAACAAGAGTGAGCAGGTGGTGGTTGTGCAAAGTGATTATCCGGGGGCCTTGTAATAATCATGACCATCATCATTCACGCCTCCTCCATTCACGTAAGCAAGTTAGCTTGCGTGACATTCCTTAATACTTTTTAAGACAGACACTCATATCATCCCCATTTTTTCTAAAATGATGCTGAAGCTTTCAGATGTTCGATGGCCTCTCTAAGATCAATACCTTCTAGGTGGCGGTGCCGAGCCTCAAAAGGAGTGTGTTGAAACAAAACCATCACTTGCCCTTAACACCAGGAAAAGGTGAAGGGACTTCACTGATACTGTATCATTGCTGGAAGTGGGATTTTTACGTCTTGTGTGGCACAGACATCTACTCCCATGAGCTTGTTATGCATTAAGTTATTAATTTGTGACCCAGATGTTGGCTTTCACCAACTTTTGTCCCCATGTCAACCTTGAAGCGAGATTCCAGGCATATCATCATTCCCTGGAGACCCGACAACACCAGGCATTAGGGAGCCTGCCAGTCTCCTGCATGCCCTGCATTACTAACCATCCATCCATCCTTCCATGCATCCATCCTTCCATCCATCCATCAACCCATCCTTCCATGCATCCTTCCTTCCATCCATCCATCCACCCATCCATCCATCCATCCATCCTTCCTTCCGTCCATCCATCCTTCTACCCACCCATCTATCCATCCATTCTTCCATCCATCCATCCATGCATCCATCTATCCTTCCATGCATCCATCCATCCCTCTATCCATCCATCCATCCATCCTTCCATCCACCCATGCATCCATCCTTCCATCCACCCATCCTTCCATGCATCCTTCCTTCCATCCATCTATCCACCCATCCATCCATCCTTCCTTCCATCCATCCATCCATCCATCCATCCACCTGCCCATCTATCTATCCAACCATCCATCCATGCATCCTTCCATTCGTCCATCCATCCTTCCATCCATCTATCCATCTTTCCTTCCTTCCATCTGTCCTTCCATCCATCCATCCATCCATCCTTCCACTCATCCATCCTTCTGTACATCCATCCTTCCATCTTTGCTTCCTTCCTTCCTTCCATCCGTCCATCCATTCCCAGGGCGGCCTCACAGAACTGCTCACATGGAAAGCAATTCCATCACAAGTCAAGGCAACAAATTTGAGTAATTTTTCTGGTGACTTTGAAATTAGGGTTCGTGCTGGAAACCTCTCTTGTTTCTTTTGCTCCAGGCATTTTAATGTCTGTGATCCATGTCTTTTAGTCTCCAGTCACAGGGGCCAGTCATGGATCCCGGGTTCAGCCGTGCTTTGTAGTTCCTCTAACAGCCTCGAAAGGGAATTCTGCATATGCTTCATAAACTGTATTTAAAGTCAAGCCATCCCAAATATCCCCTTCACATATGGTCAAACTCTGTCTAGCTCTTTTCAGATAATATAGTACCAGATCGAAGATGTTCTTTATATATCTGCAGACTTTACCTTGTGGGGCATATTGTGTTTCCTTCCCAAATTCACACTCTCTCTTCCAAACCTTCTCATTTATCCAAAAGCCTCTACATCTATGGGCCCACCTCTCCCTCTCATGGTTTCTTTTTCTGTCTGCTCAGCCCTTTTTCACTCAACCTCTCAATTTCTCTCTCATTCCACTTCCTCACTCCCCTTGCTTCTGGATCCCCTTCTGATATAAAGCAGTTTAGTTCTTCCAAACTTGGACATCTTTACCCATCACCTCTCCATTAACATGCAACAGTGATCAGATCCCGGTGCCTTAAAGTATAGCCAAGAGATAATAAGTATTTTTTTTCCCTCCCAAGCACTTGCTAAGTTGTATACTTAATTTGGTACAGGAGACAATAATTATATACTGGTGGTTGCCATTTAACTGTACGAATAGCTATTCGTATTGCCGGTCTTTGGTGGACAGGATTTTGTTTCTCATTGTCCCTGGGTTTCCTCAAGTGGAGGTCCCTGTGTGCCCTGACTGTGTGGGTATCAAGGATGGTTCCCTTCTAGATCTAGCATTGGTGGGGAGTCTCCATTGAGTTGTTTTCTAAGTGCTGGTATGGATTTGGCTCTATCCATTTGCCTTCTTGCTTCTATCCCCTTGGTATGAATGGGGACCAGAAAGACCAGAAGGCTCCCGAGGTTGGAGGCTCCATCTCTGGCCAAGGGTTGTCATAATGCTCACATTCTCATGTACATCTAAGCCTGACAGCCTGGGCTTCGTCACTATGGAGATCTTCCCAGGTAAACAACCTTGTCCAGAGGCCAGCAGGTCCTCAGGTATCCCTCTCCTCCCAACCACAGTGCACCCTGCAGTTATAAAGCCACAACTCTGCTCTCTGCCTGCTCCCTCCAATAAGAGGGACAGTCATGGGGGTGGCTATACTGACTTCTAATTGCTCTCACCACCCTGCAGTTCACATCCTTAGCTGGAAACCTGAGGAGAACACGTTGACTCCTGAAACTGAGCCTTGAGTCAACATGAAGCTGATAGACTGTGGCAGTGGGATTTATGAATCAGCTGAAACATACAAAAAATGAAATCCTTTTTTGTTGCTGAAGAAAACCCAGAGGCACAAAAAGCCTTTATTTTTTTGGCTTTATTTACAATTTACCTATATTTTAAGCAGTAGTTAGTCCTAAGTTCCTTGCCTACTCAGGATTCCTTAAAAGAAAGGAGTAAAGGAAGCCTATGACATGATAAAAAACCATTAAGCAATAGCCTTTACGGGCCCTTGGGGATTTTCACAAATTGTTCTAATAAATGAATCCATTAATCCATGACTATATGAAATCAGGCGTTAACCATAACGGAAATTTATAAGTTCTGCTTCTTGTTACTATTCTTTATTTGTTGGCTGTCAGGGGTGGGGCTTATCTGTGTATATCTGTGGAGGGATGGAAAAAAAATCAAGCCCCGTGGACTCTATGTCATCCCTGTGTGCTGAGTCCAGCCCTTTGAGATTTGGGGCACTGGTGACATTTTAGGGAAAGCCAGATTTCTTGACTTAACAGTGACAACAAAGTGAGGGCAGTGTGATGCTTGTTGGAATATCTGTGCTAAGACTGCCATATTTCGTCATCTGTAGCTACTCAAAAAGAACCTGAGCTCTGACGCGTGAACAGGATGGTAAATATACGGGCCTGCCCAGCAACACAACAGTCACTTTTCAATCTGGGGTAATGAGTAACACCATATGGCCCCAGCTATGCACAGGTTGACTCTGGGAACCTCGGCGAATCATTCACTCCTTCTGAGATGTTTCTTCTAATAATCCCCATCCTGTCTACCTCATAGAGTTGTCTGAAGGGTTAATGGGCACAGTATACATAGCACTTGAAAAGTATGAAAATGCGACCTGACCTGTAGGAGATACGAATAACTGGTTCTCTTGAACTAGTTGAAGCCCAGTGTGGTTTAGGTTAATCGATGGCCATTGAATGCTTAATTTAAAATAATTTTTCAGTTGGTATGCAAATAGAGTTTTTCATTCCCTGTCATATTTGGGAGAAATTAGCTAAATTCCTTCCCCATCATTTAAGCCAAAAGCATAGCAGAGAGGTTGAAGGAGGTGAAGGTAAGCCATGGTTATGTAAGAGAGAATCCAGATCCCCATTTTACACTCAGTTCTCGGCTTATCGACAGTTGTTGAAATGACATTATGAAATCCACTATTTTGGAGAGCATTTGTGCTCAGTTTGGCCCTGGTAACTAAGCTAGCTGGAAAAACTTAGAGTTCCAAGAATCAAGGAGAGGCAAACACTGATGTATTTGTTTTTAACCCCTGTCACTGTGCAGGTAATATAAAATACCCATGAAGAGAATATTCTACAAAGTGTATAATGCCACCAAAGGCATACGTATAGGCATCTGGCAATCTGATAATTGGACATGTGTCCTCCAACCAAGGATATGTAAAATAGGTCTC